CCTCCCGGGACAGGCTGGGGACGGGCGGTACCCCGAGTCCTGCAACCCCCGCCCGGGTGGAAGTGGGGGTGCAGCCCGGGTCCCGCACCCCCTTGCCGAGGTCCCGCACCCATCCAGCCCGCGGAGCGCCGGCGGAGGCTTGCGCAGGAGCCTCTGCACGCCGGCCCGGCAGTACCGCGCTGCCTGCTCGCACATCGCTCAGCCCGGCCTCATGCCGGAGCTGGGGACTCCCTCCTCCTCCTCCTCCTCCTCCTCCCACCGCCACACGGCGGGCAGCGGGCAAGGGCGGGACCCCGGGGGGGGCTCCTGCCCTAAGAGCGAGGGGGCGTTTTGGGGTGGGGGTAGGTCACCTTGGAGCAGCCCCGGTGGGTGCTGCCTGCGTGCCCCCACCCTCATACAGCCCCCAGCTCCAACACAAAGCATCCTTTTAGGCATTTTCTATCTAAAAAGAGTATTCCTATTGCATGTAGTCTCCCTGCTGAAGCTTCCCTACCCCCACAACAGATTTTTAGCAGCTCTTTGTAAGGACAGCAGAGGACACATTTCTTGCTAGTAAATAAAACTTGCCCCTGCCTCCCTACCTCTACTCCAAAAAGCCCCTATGCAGTGAATAGCCAGCAATTCCAGCTGGGGTATCACAGCATTCATGGCTACAGTGCTAATCACGGTGTCAGATGGTCTAGTATTTCTTATTCTGTAATTCTGTATTACGAGGATATTCCTTTGTGATGCTCCTGTGCCCACCTACACAGGTCAAGATCTAGACCTGAAGTAGGGGCAGAAAGTCTTCTGGCCAAAATAACACTAAAACATTTCATCTCCCCCTCCACACTTGAGGAGATGCTCTGAGGTTGAGTTCTGACCCAGAGCACTCAGACCCAGACCCTCTTGGAGGGTTCCCCAGAGCGCTGAAGCGGCCACAGGATCTAAATGGCCTTTCCACCCTGCCCACCCTGGCAGCCCAACCATGGCACAGGCAGCTCTAGGAGACTTCATGCCCCACAAGGCCCATGTCCCCATAAATGAACATCTCTGATACAGGAGCCAGCAAGCCCAGCACCTCATGCAAGCGTTACACACTTCCCATGCTGAGCCCTATGCCTGATCTCCAAATGAGGAACAGCATGATCACTCCAAAAGGCCTGACCAGTTACTGCTTTAAGAGGAAAAAACCAGCAATAAATCATGTCTTTAAACAGAGTTTACATATTGCAGTGCACCAGAGCCCAGATCCCCAGCAAAGCCTTTCCAAGGTACTATTTAGCCTCTTCTTCTAACCACCCATCTTTATTCAGGTAAATTAGGATAAAAATTTTGTATTTGAGGTGTCAGGTGGGGGAACGTGCATTTTCCTCTCAGCTGCTGCTGAAAGAAAAGCAAGTGGGTGCCTGCTTCTCTCTGCTGGAGTATGTGGATAATGGCTCGAGGCTCTTGAAAGGCTTTTAAATAGACGAGGCACAGAGAAGAGTGGCAGTAGGCCAGGACACCCATGGGCTGAGCCCCTCTTTCACCAAGCTCTTGCCTTTCAAGGTTTCTTTCTTCTCCAGCAATACAAAATTAATGGGGGAAAATGGAATAATTTCAAGGGGGTTATGTTGGTTCATGGGAGGTGTGTGGAGCATTTTAATGGCTCTGTGTTCATTTACAGGGGTGCTCAGAGCAGGCTGTTGTGCAACCCAGTCATCGCTCAATCTCCATTTACATCTCACAGCAAAGATAATCCAAGACAAGACTTATTTTACCATCTCTGTCATGGGCTTAGGTGGGCTGGATCCCTACGCACCAACTGCTGGTGCCAATCGGACCGTACCCTTCATGGCCTAAATTACTGCACTCTTCTTACAATCCTCAGATTATTCATATGCTTCTTTCTCCTTTAGACATGGCTAAATGGCTGGTTCAGGCTGTATTAATTACACCCAGTTTCAGATTAATATATATGTTTGTCATTTAAAACTATTTACTGAAAAGGTTTATAAATAAAGTTCTTTGAATTTTCCTTTCCATTTGCCATGAAGAGTCATCACGTGGCTTGGAAGTTTAAGGCTATTTCTGTGCTTTTGTCAAAATTAGTTCTTATGTCAAAACCAGCTCTGTGGCATTTAAATACTCATTTTTCCTCCTAAATGGATCTAGACAGAAAAAATTTCAGCCAGTCAGGCATTAGGAAGAAGTTTGCCATTTGCACTGGGAAGTTAACCAGCTGTATTGCTAAGGACTCAGTTATTCCTAGGTTTCCATGAGGTTGAAGTCTCCCCTTGAAGGAATAAATGGAAAAGACAATTCTGTACTTATTTGTGCCAGGTGAGAAAGCCCAAGAACCCCCAAGCCATGTGCTCAGGCTGGTCCCAGCCCATGTGTCACACCACAGCCAAGGAGGGAAGGCAAAGGCACAGACCTCAGGTTGGGCTCTGTGTGCCAAACTCATCCCCTGCCTCTTGCCAACAGTGATGGGACACTGTCCTGTGCAAATAAATACGACCGCAGCCATAGCATCAGGACTTTGCCTGCCTCTCCTGCCACCCTGCGCTACTAGCTGTGGCACTGCCCAGGTCACCAGCAAGTAGCCATCAACCAGGGCCAGAAGAAGAAACCAAACTAGTGATGGACAAGTGGAGACAATACAGTTTTGACATCTGCCTGCCTCTTTAGCCAGATGGTGGAACATCTCTTTGGCTGCTGCTCCCTGGCATCCGGCACACTTTTTGCTTTCATTAAAGGTGAACACAGGACCACCAGCAGCCACCAGTTGCCTTGAAAGCTTTATGCATATGCATAATAAGCTGCTGAGCATCGTAGGAATAAATAGGAGAAAATAGAAAGGAGACAACAAAAAGCACAGTTAAATCCAGGCAAAGCACATCCCAGTGAAAGCAGCAAGCATTAATTATATAGGTCTTGATAGACCCAGAGCAGTCAGGCCACCCAGCACCCAGTGGCAGCAAAGCCCAGCACGCAGCACAGCCTGCTGTCTCCACTGCTGGCATGGTGGCATTTTCCTTTCCATGTCACTTTGCAGGCAGAGAGCTCAAATCCTGCCCCATGGTGGCAAGGGTGAGCTGCAGAGGGAAGGGCAGCAGCTGCAGCTCCGCGTTCTCTTCCTTGACATTTAATGGTGAGCTTCCCCACTGCTGCGCTAGCCAGGCACACACATGGGCCCAGACCACTACAGTCTTATAGATGAAGGATACAATAAGGACAGGAAGGTTCTCGAAGGCTGGGAGACATCAGACCTATCCTCCCTCACCCCAGCTCCAAGTTCAGAAACTCAGAGATCTCAAGTAAAGGCTATTGTCATTCCAGTTTCAAGTCTGATTTTGACCCTACAGTTTTCCCTCCCTGGTACACATAGTGCTCAGCACAGAGCATTGGTTTACCCCTGTCACCAGTGATGTTTGCTCTACAAGCTTTCATAAGGGGTTTATTCGGATGCTGCACCAAATATTTTCCAGCATCTTCTGGAAAGGCTGTTGGAGCAAGAGCACAAACCATGTACTGTAGTTTCAGATGAGAGGCCACCTGAAGAACCCAAGGGCTTTTTTGAAAGAAAGGTCCGAGACAGAGCAGAAGTCCTGCCCGCACCCTGGCATGGCAGGCAGAGATAGTAGCTTTCATCTCCCCTTTGAATTCTGCCTTCTCCCCCCTGCCCCTCTGCGCACAGCGGGAAGATTTATTTAATTAAAAACTTCCAACAGGCAGGACCTGCAGCCTCACTTAGTGCAAAATGTCACATATGACTTACTAATATTTACTAATGACTGAGGCATTGAGGTTAATACAACAGTTCGATGGCCAGAAGAGGAAATGGCGACCTTGTTGCAGGATGGGAATTAGGCAGAGCAACCTTGCCTGCCCAGCCCAGAGGCTGAAATGACACTTTAGTCCCTGCACTAATCTATGTTTATAATAATGCAATGTGTAATCACCAGGTGGTTTTATACTCCATCTTGAAAATGCCACACTGCCCATAGCACCAAGGTAATGCACTGGTCTGAGCAGAAGTCATCCCAGGGAGACCATATGCATGTGTGATGTATCTTAACTTCGAAAAATAGACAAGTTAGTGCCTCTGCAAGTTAAGGGGTGCAGAACTCATGGTTTGGGGAACACAGCTCACCCACACCACTAACAAAGTATCAAGTACACCCCTGCCATTGGGATCACGGGTTTCTGATCCAGGCCCTGCAGTCAGGGAAGGAGCTGTAGGAAGTACGAAGCTTCAAATGCACCATTTCATGTGTCATTGATCTGAGAGTGCCACACTGGTTCTTAAGACAAAATGTAGACTTCGCCTCTAAATACCTCCAGAGCCTCTTTAAACTGTAGTTACAATCATGAACAAAAAAAAAAAAAAAAAAAAAAAAAAAAAAAAGTCCTGCTATCATCCAAACATCCTCCCTGCTACACAACCAGCCACTGGGGAAAACGGGCAGGTTCAGCCTGGGGTGGGAGAGCCCCTCTGTGGAAGCAGCCAACCAATGGGTTTTTTTCTGAGGAATTACTCAACCACCCAGTACAGCCAGTTACTGCAAATGAAGACCAGGCACGGTGTGAGAGTTCAGGCTTTTCCTGGTCACAATCCTAAAGGTAACCCACAGATACCTGGGAAACCTTGTAAAGGAGAATTTTCTGGACTAACCTCATCATCAAATAAAACTCCTCCAGCATTAGGAGATCACAGTCCTCAGATGCCCAGACTTCTCCAGAGCTGAGATGGTTTTCCACAGCACCATAAGAAATATAAGAAAAAAAAATAAAAAATCTCCAAACCTTCTGAGACATACCCAGGCCCATCCTGGGGAGGGCCTGGGAGCTGGGCAGCTTCTCCCAAGCCCTCAGCAGCAGCACAGTTCCTGCCTGGGCCTGCCCCTGGGCTCTGGGCATCCTGTGAAATTCAAAACACCTGGGCTGGAGGCTCCACACCAGCTCCAGGCACGGCCCTTCCTCCCCAGGGAAGCTGTCACCATTTTGTGGAAACTTTAAAAACCAAAAAATATTGCGGTTTTGTTATGCTGAGATGCAGGGATGCAGGCAAACAGCAGGTAAAATTCTGCTGATGACTGCTAAATAAATTCAGAGGGTGGTGGTTGTTTCCAGCTTGGTGATTTTTAGCCTGCTTGTTTGGGTATTAAGGGGGCATTACCCAACTCTGTTTTGGCAATTGAGAAAAAGAGCATTTAACACCAAAACTGACT